TCAAAGTATGTGGTTAGTTCCACATACTTTGATTTTCTCTTATATTGTCAGATTAAAACAAGAAAACCGACAATTCCGAAGCTGCCGGCAGATTCCCATTTACAATTCGATATCGAAATACTCGATTTCGTCAGTTTGGTGAATTCCGATTTGCGGGAAATCATATTCGCATCGATTAAAACGATTGCGAGTCACTCGCCAGCTCTATGGTGCCGAATTGCTCGATTTCGGTAGATTATTGAGGTTATAGAATAGCACGTGGTTGTAGCCTTATAGCGGTTATAGAGAAAGAAACAGGTAAATCAAAGTTTGGCTTAAACTTATGTTGTACGAAAGTCCAATATCTCGTTGGTATGACCCAGTTGCATAAAAACGTAATGCAGCAAAAATCTTTATGAAATTTGGCAGATAATTGTTGTAGACTCTTTCTACAAGGTGGGGCTGTATAGTATCAAATAGATACCTAGCGGCTTTTCTGTTCAATCTGTAAAATTCAATAAAGCGCTCTTCCGGAAGCTCAAATAAAATGCTGTGGTCCCTGAGTAGACGCCTTTGTAAAACGAGGGCTCTGTTTAACTCCCTGTGTCTTATTCGGTTATTAAAAATTGGTAGCATACGTGCGTGGCTATTTATTATAATTCACTTTCGAACAAAAACACCAATAAAAATAAATACCAAATACCGTTGATTTGTTTACATATATCAACTGTCAATTAAAACACGTATTGCGCATGCTCGCTATGAACAAAACGGGTTTCGGAATCGACCAAAACGCAGGGCAACTCGATAGTGAATAGGAATAGCAAATTTCTCGATATCGTATTTGGTTGCGAGTATCGAAAGCGATTCGATTTCGCATTTCGCATTGATTTGGAATCTATATGCTGAAGCGGATGATTAAAACGCACCTATTAAAATTATTGCGCCAAGATGTAGGCAACACGTAATAAGGGATCAAAATAGCTGAGTTTTCTATCTCCTGTTAAAAGGCACTCAGAAAGCTGCGCAGTGCGACCATTCTCCGTATAGTAAGAGAAAATCAAAGTATGTGGGTTAGTTCCCACTGGCACTCATACCCGAGAATAACCAAACGCGTTTGGTTATTCTCGGCTCATACGTAATATTAATATTTAAAAATTATATGCTACAATTCACTCAAAATGGATAAATAAACGGGTGTGATCGGAAATAAAATAATAGAACTGCTTTTTCAATAGTATGGAAATGTTATGTTTATATTTCTTTTTCGTTGATTTTAATTGGACACTTGGCAACACCGTACTAATTTGTATTGACAGAGCATGACATATAATTCTGTGTTGCCAATTAGCCGCAAAAAGTGCAACTTTTGTGCTTTTTGTCTATGTGTTGCGATTTTATTGCCCCCTCCACTTTTTTTGCGATTTTTACTGCAAAGGCGGCTGGTAATTACATTTTATATTTTTCCTTTTTACTCTTATAAATAACAAATACACTTTTGAGAAAACTTCTATTTCAAAAATGAATATAGAGAATTACCATAAATCTTTATCCAATATTTTGAGCTTTTAAATCATATTAGCTTTGTTTGCGGAGCCTGTCACCGACAAGTCCACGACAGATGAGCATGCGCATTTTGATTTTAGGCGTTGGCGGAGACGAAAATCAGGGATTTATTGAGAAAATGTCCAGCTTTCTCGGCGCACTTGTCAGTAGTACACGACAAGTTACCGACAAGTCAAAACGATCAGCAAACAGCGTAGAAAATTTGTCAGGAAATACTTAGTAAGTAAAAGTGATGCAAAAATCGCGTTAATGAAGAGAAAATAGGAACGGAACAAAGAGGAATGGTTGACTGAGTTTTTAATTAATCCGACTATTCCAATAAATTCTAAAAATTTTATGTTCGAACTATTGAAAAATTAAACAACAATGGAATCTTTCTAATATATATTCTTAAAATTATCTTCACAATCTACAGTCTTGTGTTTCACTTTTTATTTGCAGCCTTTAATATGTAAATTTTTTTAAAAAACGTTAAGTTATGGGGTTTGCGGTGGTATATTTCAAAAATACTATCCTTCCTAAAGACTAAAATGTAAGTTTTGTAAAGCAATTGTATTTATAATAAAAGGGCGTCTTCGCAATAATTACCAAATTGTTTTATTGTAATTTATTAGACTTCAATTATCTACCATTGTAGTAACGATGTTTTTTCTTTTTTAGATACCGGATGATTTTGAAAACTTAATTTTTTAAATTATGGAAAAACCTTTACATATTAAGAATTGGGTAATGCCACACAAATGTCTCTTAAGTTCTTGTTATTCACCACACAAGAGCCAGCTCACTGATTCTACCAAAAAAAGAACAACAGAAACAAAAACTCAAACTGTACCTACTTTCAATAAAGCAGTACTAAATTCTAAAAAATGAATTTATATTCCAAAAAATAGGTACAAAAAAAACGTTAAAAATTTAAACAGTTGGTAACATCATTGCTTATATAGAGTTCATCAACTATAACAAAGAGGTCCAAATTGTTAACATAGTCACATTCGATCTTTTTTAATAATGCTATGGCATTTAATCGCTGCTCTGTCGTAGTCGATCGATTATAGGTTTTATGTTTTTTAGCCCAATAAATGATCTTTCGGCATTAGCACTACCAACCAATTTGGAAACGAAAGGTACATTAATCCCTTTATGTTAATACCTGCAGTCAAAATCGTGTCAGATTCTAACCAGCATATTTAAAAAAATTCGCAAATATTTAGGCCATGGTTTGAATGAACGTATCCAATGCGACATAAAAAATGTTTGTTTTAAATTATGCTTTCCTTTTGATCGTTAGGTGCTTCAGTGCTTAGTTTTTTTTTAACCTTTTAGAATTGAATTCAGTAGTAATATTACACTTTAAAGCTATATGTCTGGCATCACTTTCAAACCGTATAAATGATTTATAATTCATGCGTAAATTGTTAAGATCCTGGATAGTGGATTTAATAAGTGTTGCCGCTGTATTTAAATTTATTTCTACCTTTTGAAGATAATTCGAAAGTACATTTATTTTTGTCAGCACCTCTTTCCAAAAACATATTAAAAAAAGAAAATCAAATGTTTGCAAATAATTTAGAAGCCAATTTAATATCTGATTCAGACTTAATAATGAACAGGATCTTCAAAACCAATGAACTCTCAAAATAATTGAAAATAAACCGAAGGTATATTTAGGGATTGCCCAACAGTGTTTTCAGTGGTATTGTTAACTTAAAAGAACTCATTTTGTATGACTAAATACCCAATAATTTAAGGAACTGTTTGTGTTTTTTTATTAATTTATCACATTTCGGAGATTATAATAATTGTATACAAACAAAAATGTAAAATCTGTAATAATTTTATTTATTACCCTAATATTAAAAAATAAAAGTACCTAAATAAGATAAACAAAGTAAAAAACACTTCATTTACAAATAATAAAAACATATATACAAGCCCTAACAATAATGCAGTTGCACAAATTAAAATTTCTTCTAAAGATTCATTATCAAATTAACTTGTTATCTACCTCATTATTTACTTCAAATGTGGGAGAAATAATGTAAAATACTTGTGTTCATGTGTAATTATTCCATTTACTGTGCAAATATCTCCTTTTCTCAAGTTATTTATGGAAAATCGCATTATCTCTATATACTTGCTTGGCAAATCTAAAAATAATAAAATATTTATGATTATTTTTTTAGTATTTTCATGAGTACATTTTTTGTATTCCTATTTTTTTCAATTTTTATTACTTTTCTATGTTCCAAATTATTTCATAAAATATATTTGTGTTTTTATTATTTCAATTTAGCAATATTATCGTAGATTTATTCATGTAAATACTAGACATGTTTATAATAGTTGTAACAAAAAGAGTATATTTACAAAAAGTAGTCATTCATACACAAAAATGTACTTAAATTACAATTATTTACAATGACATGTAGCAAGTAGGTAATCCTCGGCCAAATAAAAATAGTATTATAGTAAATACTTGTGCACTTCCCTTCTAAATAGTTTTAAATGTTATTTAATTTTTGAGGTAGCCAAAATGTATAATCTCGTTTTATACAACAGCACAGCTTTAAACGTCGCTCTCGCTCAAATTAGAGATTGGCCCTTGTTGCTTCAAGGTACAGATATATCGTCCATAAAGAGTTACATATCTTTCTGTCTTAATATGCTTATTTGGCACTTATAAACTCAGTATTGTTAAAAAAATGTAGTAATCATATCGTGATTTACATTGGGTAAAACACTTGAATCAGCTTTTATAAACTCATATTAATAATAAAATAAACCAATTAGCAAAGACAAAGAAAACAATACAACAACGAATGTTAGGTTAGGTAATCTTAGGTAGTGTCAATTTTTAAGTGTCACTAAGATGTGCGTTCACTTCGACATTCTATGTGTCGGTTTGTTCGTTGGCTTCTGTATCACAATCAAAACTTCAACACAAGCTGATTGGTATATTCCCGATGACGTACACATTTTAAATTATAAATGGTTTTATTTTAGAAACGTTTGGCTTTCTTAACAAACTGATTATTTAGAATAACTTGTATAGTGACTATTACAATATAATTTATAAAACAGCATATTTCACATCTGAACATGGCCCATTATGAATTTTTAATTTTAAATGTTACTATTTACTATTTAAATATTTCTCTTTAAATAAGAAATACCCCGTGTATAAGTTAGTAAAATACCCACTCCATTAATGTATTTTCCTCGTGGCGGAACTGATCGGTAGGATTAACTTGGCCCTTTTCAAAAACGGATTAGTTCAAGTACTTCTGGAGGAACTAGTCTGTCCACAAAATAGGAATCTGCAGCATTATCTAAAATATCTTGATAATTAGTTTAAATGACTCGTAGGCTCATTTAATATGAATATGTATTTTTTCTGCAATTTTGTTTTAATCATAAATATGTTTTTCTTTATAATTAAAATAACTTATTTTTAGGGATCAAGAAAGACTGAGTGGTTTGGCTTTTCTACAGTGTGCTCTCGCATTAAGTTTTTTCAATAAATTACCAAGTTTCCTGGTCAAACAAATTTTTAATGTAGAATTCATGGATAGATTAGATAATGAATTGGCCAATTGCTACTCAAAGGTAATTATAAAAATTATACACAGTGTTTTCGGAATTCATTTCTTCAGCAAAAATTTGAATGTTGTGAGAAACAAAAATGTATTTTTATGAATTGAATACCTAGGGTTACTCAAAATGATTCACATTTTAACTTCTAAATCAGTTCGTTTTTTAAGGAAAAACTAACCATAAAAATATAATGCCTTTTGTTAATAGAAAATAGCACTTTACAATTTTCTAATATCAAAAGTTTGGTATCCTCTATCGTAAAAAATAGGAACCTTCATTACTATTCATCCATTTTTTAACACAAACTTCACTAGAAAGTTGATTGATAGTTCATTATCATAAATATTAAATTAAAATTAGGATAATTAACGTTATTTTTTAAAATTCTTTATTTGCTACATGTTCGACGACTCGGATGTCTTTCTTTGACTTTAATAATATTTATGTTAACTGCATCTGAAATAATTCCATACAGTCAGACATCAATACTAAAGTACTAATAGGTCTATTAACACGGCATTGTATGCTTAAAAGGCATATATGTTGCACCGGTCTGGCAGAAGAGACGTTATGCCGATTCTGCCATGAAGAAGAGGAAACTAGTAGGCATATTATCCTACTGCGAAGGTCTATTAAAACTGTGATTCCTGAAAAAAAAAAACAACGGCAACTTAATTATCGCAGGAGGGCTACTTCCTAGGTTATGGAGACTATAGAAGACTAACTAATAATCAAATCGTATCTACAATAGATCTGAAAAGGTCGAGATTTGATAAGGCTTCATGAACTCCAGTCCTAAAAAAATCTAATCTACAGTCAGCCATATCAAAATGTCTGCAGATTATAGCAACTCTAGTCTACCAATTCAATGTACCAAGTACCAAGTTGCTGTTAACACCAGAAGAAAGCCATCATAACTTATATCTACTCTTAAAGATGACCATACTCTTAAAAGAGCAAGTTTCAACTCGATAACATTAATGTATACGTCTGATTTGACAGATTCTGCATAATTGACAATCTCTAAAAGTACCTGTAAATTACACATGGGTAAACTTTATATAATCTAATTAGGCATTCCAATCAAAATGGCTACCCGTAGGAAATGGCAGGCACATGATAGGGTAGAATATGGCAACACTGTGGACCTGGTAAATATATATATATATATATATATATATATATATATATATATATATATATATATATATATATATATATATATATATATATATGTAATAAAGAAAACTCTTTAAAGATGATCCAAGCTTTCGGAAATTTAATAACTTATTTCCATCTTCAGGGAATCTACAAAAGGTGTGGTGTGTCTTCATAGGAACATAATATTATTAAGAGAGTGAGTTACTTACATCTTTGTGAGGATGAATTATTAATGATGTTAAATAAGATAAATGTTATGATTTTGATGCACATATAGAATTATAATTACACAGTTTTACAATATAACTTAAAATTATTGTGGTTAAAATTCAGTTTGAAATTTAACTGTTATGTCAAATTTTGTGTCATTCGTTGTTTATGTATACAAGTGTGTTAGATTAAATATAGAAATTACTAATAAGGAACCTAGTTAGGAAGATTACTTTGTACCTAAATTATTATTTAATAATGTTTTATCTGAGAATGCAGTTTGATTAATTATTTCATCATCAACAAAACTGTCACTAATTGTTGTGATGAATGAAAGGATGTTGTAAATTATTTAATCAAAAACAATACTGTCACCATTGTTATGATGAAAGGTTGAATATTAAAAGTTTTTTAATCAGACTTGTATCATAAAAGGTGGTCATTTAAAAAATTAGATTTCATCTGCAATAATACTGTCACTATTATTGTGATGAAGGGTTGTATTGGTGTTGAGTAAGTATGAGTAAATAGCACTTATATGTTTTATGTCTGTCCTTTTATTAATACAATTTTGATTTTGGTATATCCAAGCCATTTCTAAGAAGAGTCTTTTGGTATAATTGGTTATAAATAAGTTATTAAATTTCCGAAAGCTTGGATCATCTTTAAAGAGTTTTCTTTATTACATATTGCTGCTGCCCCCAATAAATTAGTTTGAATTTTACATTACTATTCAGCAAAGACTACCCTTTCACTCTCTCTCTCTCTATATATATTAATCATGTTTTTAAAAGTAAACATAAGCATATGCCTTGAAGTTAAAACGTAGGTAATTATTTTTATTTCACTATTCAAAGGCTGGAAATTGGTTTTAAAACAGAGTTTTGCTAAACGACCCGCTTTGAGCAATCTACATAACTATATATGAGGGCCTTAGAATAAAAGGGGTATAAGTGCATTTTGGAATAAAAAGGGTACAAGGGACGCTTGTACCTGTTTTGCTCTCACCAAACTGTAGGAATTCTTCACAATGTATTTCTACTTACCAGAAGATGGCAGTCTAGTTCAATATATCACTTAAACATTAACTTTAAATATTCATATAAGCTATTATCTCCAATCAAAAAAAAATCACTTATACCCCTTTTATTAAAGGCCCTCATATGTATCATAAACCTTGTCAATGACAACAGGCCCACAGGGTTGCCATATCTAAACTGTCAGTTCTCACTGGCAGCATTTTGACAGGTCGTTGGAATATTGGCGATATTTAAAAATGTCGGACAAATCTATTATATACCTTTTAAATCGCAATTCTTTCCCTTTCAGGAAAAATATCCGCAAAGGGTAAGACAGACATTGATGTACTTAAACAGAACTGTTTGTTTGGAGTATCCCGAATTCAACATTCCATGGTTTCACGAAAAGTACATCCAAGATGTTCAAAAACGATGTATGTTTCTCTTTTAATAGTATTTTTATCTTGTCATTGTATATATTGATTGTGTGAATATTAATTGTGGGTTGCATAAAAAAAGGATTACATTTTAAATGCAGGATAATACATTCTGTCCGTGGATATAGGGACCGTGCGTGAAATATAGAGGCAGCACTACTGCCGAAGGTAGCCCTCTCTAGTGTTTAATTTTAGAATTAATTGGGGTAAACATTGCAAGTAAATAATAAATGATATTTTTTAAAATATTAAATATAGATACCGGCCCATAATAAACAATCGTGTACATGGTCAAAATGAATTTTAATTTTAAAATCTGGACATGTATATACATTTTGAGCAAAAAGATTTAAATGGCTAAGTGACTGTAATAGAATGATTGGAGTATTACGTAAAAAGGGGCTGATTGTAACAGTTGAAAAAAAGATAAGATAAACGTGTCTCAAACGCGCTTACCTTCTGTGTTGCATCATATTGTTCGTCGGATGAAGTAGGTGGTAGTATTAGTCCAGTAGCCAAGACCGGGCCCGGTTACACAGTTTATATAATAACGTTTATTATACAGGATTTTATAATAGCAAATTTAACGGCACATACACACCACAAAGCGTTCTCGTCGCGGCAATTGCTGTAGTTCTTCTTGTCCAACGGCGCTTCACTTGTCTTACAGTCAGACGAAGCGCATGTGTGGGCCAAAGTTTTAAGTAAGCGATTTGAGACAAAGCGCGAATATTTAAATAATAAAATAGGAATTAATTCATTCTGGAACATTTCCTGCCCCGAAAAAAAACTGATTAGACAATTCCCCAAAAAAAAACTAATTATTAAAGCAAAAAAAAAAGAAAGTTCAAATAATAGAATTAAACCAAAAACATTATAAAATACTACAGGTAGCATATAAAAAAAATAATTATTAGGTAGTGGACACAGTTTTACCAATGGCCGTTTTAAAATACAATTTTGTGTTTTTACCGTAGCTACTCTAGCTATGTTATCATTACCAAAATGCAGTTGAGTAACACGGCCTAACAACCATTTATTAGGAGGTAAATTATCGGTTTTAACCAAAACTAAAGTACCAAGTTTGGGGGTGTTAGCAGTGTCTAACCATTTGGCTCGCTGCTGTAGGGTATGCAAATATTCTTTATGCCAGCGACGCCAAATATCTTGATGGATACGCTGTAACAATTGCCACCTAGAAAGGCGATTTAGGGGGACGTGTTCGAAACTGGGAACGGGAAATGCGGTTAAAGGTTCCATGGTCAAGAAATGACCGGGCGTTAAGGCGTTGATATCGTCGACATCATTAGATATGGGAATTAGTGGTCTAGAATTTAATATTGATTCTATAAGTGTCAGAACTGTATAGAATTCCTCATATGTGAGAATTTGATCACCTACGACGCGGCGAAGGTGAGTTTTAACACTTTTAACGCCAGCTTCGGCTAGACCATTAAAGTGAGGAGCTCCGGCGGGGCTAGGAAACCATTGAATAGTTTCACTTGCGCTGGCCTGTTCCATAAGAGAAAGCAATTCGCGTTTTGCACCCATAAAATTTGTGCCACAATCACTGTACATCTGTGAGACTTTTCTACGCCTTGCAATAAATCTTTGTAGAGCGTCTAAAAATGTTGGTGTAGATAAATCACTGGCAAGTTCCAAATGTACAGCTTTGGTAGCCAAGCAGACAAAAATACATAGGTAAGCTTTGCAACTTTTTACTCCTCTGTGACGACTAATAGTTATATTAAATGGGCCTACGAAATCAACAGCGGAGCGACCGAAAGGTTTTACCTCAGACACTCGAGACAGCGGCAAATTTCCCATTGGGGGTTGATAAGAGGTAGGAGATGTTTTCCAACAGCGTAAACATTTCGAAATCACTGAGTTAATGGCTCGTTTTGAGGATAGAACCCAAAACTGTTGAGCTAGTAAGAAGTGAGTACTTCTAAAGCTAGCATGAAAATACTTTTCATGAATGTGGCGAATGACGAGTGTAGTTAATAGACTTTGTCTAGGTAATAATATGGGATGCTTAGATGAATAAGATATAGATGCATTATGTAGTCGACCTCCCACTCTAAGAATATTGTTATCATCTAAAAAAACATTTAACTTACGTATAGGTTTAGAAAAACGTTTGGACTCAATTTCTTCCTGAAAGTGAGTATATTGAGTAGTTTTTACCAAAACAAGAAGGGCAGAATACAATTCGTCGGTGAAAAATATGCCACAATGTTTAGAAAGCGGGTGTTGACAATTGTAGATAAAGGTCTATGCCCACTATACCGTACCATACTATGACCGTGCCCGGACCTGATTTTTTTTTGTATAGATTCAAATGAGGATGGTGTGGTCGATGCCGGGCCGGTCTAGTGGGTATTGTCTCATTTAAATCTATACAAAGAATATTTTTCTGCCTATGCCGGTACGGTCACGGTCATAGTATGATCCGGTGTAGTAGGCATAGACCTTAAAGCGCAAGATTAAACTTAAAATATTTTTAATAGTAGTCAAATAAGAATAATTTTCAAGCATAGAAATTACAAAACTCTCATTGTTATGATTGAGCAATGTTGAAAATAATATCATTTTATGTTGTTCTTATTTGGGAAGCGTAACCTCATTAGCAGAAGATGGGAAGGTAGGCCAAGAACTTTCATCTTCGTAAAGAAATTCAGGACCGGTTAACCAATATTTATAGGTTAAGAAGTGGGAAGGAAGAGCCCCTCGCGAGGCTATATCTGCGGGGTTAATAGCAGTATTCACATACGACCAATTATCAGGAGAGAGATTTTCTTGAATGAAAGATACCCTGTGGGCGACATAAGTTTTCCAGCGATTGGGACATCCTTTTATCCAATGCAGTACGATTTGATAATCGCACCACGCGCGAATTTTTATGAAGCTAATTTGGTTACAAAAATTCGTTTTAACATAAAGAATTAATTTAGTCAGCAGAACGGTTCCACAAAGCTCTAAGCGAGGGATAGTATGTTTCTTGGTAGGTGCGACTTTAGATTTGGAACAAATAAATGATACTTGAACGGCATCTGTTTCATCTTTAATACGAAAATATATTACACAACTATAGCCTCGTTCGCTAGAATCACAAAACCCATGAAGTTCGAATTGACAATAATTAGAATATGAAATTAACGTAGAATATTGACGAGGAATTTTTAAATCGGCAAGCAAAGGTAATTCTGACTGGTATTGTTCCCAAAGTTGAGTAATAGACTCATGAACGCCATAATTTCTTAATTAAATGCTTGCAATAAAATGTGATAGGTGAAATAAAGCCTAACGGGTCATAAATTCTAGCAAGTTCGGAGAGAAGTGTGCGTTTTGTACAAGGTTTATTTTGGACAGGATTAACAAGAAAGAAGAATGCATCATCACAAGGATCCCACTGAAGACCTAAAACTTTTATAGAACTTTCATCAGAAAGCGAATTAAAATCGAGCGGTTGTTTAGCTAAATCAGAAGCGGGAACAATTTTTAACAAATCAAGATTATTACTTGACCATTTATGTAGCTGAAAGCCTCCTAATTTCATAAGAGAAACCAACTCAGAAACCAGCTGTTTGGCTAGTTTTAAACTAGGGCACGAGAAAACAAAATCATCAATATAGCAGTAATTTTCGATTGCATGTGCGGCTAGAGGAAATATGTGTCCTTGGTCTTTCACTAATTGTTTGAGGATTCTTAACGCTAAAAATGGTGCACTATTAATTCCATATGTAACTCGAGTTAATCGATAATCCCGAACTGGTTGGGTTGGAGAAAATCTCCAAAGGATACGTTGATAATTGCAATCTTGCGAATTGACTAAAATCATTCGGTACATTTGTTTAATATTAGCACACACAGCAAAAGCATTAAGGCGAAAATATAACAAAATAGCACATATGTCTTGTTGTAATTTGGGTTCAACAAATAGACAATCATTAAGAGATTTCTGATTAGGTAAATGAGCAGAAGCGTTAAACACAACCCTTAATTTGGTTGAAATACTATGCGACTTTACCACACAGTGGTGTGGAATATAATAAGTATTGGTTGAGGAAAGCGATTGACCGGAAATTAATTCCATATGGCCAAGGTCTAGAAATTCCTTTAAAAAAGCAGAATATTCTAAATACAAATTTTCATTCTTTAATAATCGGCGTTCCAGAGAATGAAAGCGAGATAAAGCAAGGTCACGAATACCAGCAAAAGGCGGAGGATCACTCTTAAAGGGCAGTGACACACTATATCGACCATTAGTATAGGTATAAGAATCTAAAAACAATTTTTTACAAAGGTCATCATCACTAGAAAAGGTCGTAGTTTCGGGTATTTTTTCAACTTCCCAAAAATTGGTTAAAGTATTATTAAGTTCTCGAATACAAGAAGATTTGCAAAAAAACGTGGACATAACAGGACGAGGTATTGAAGAAGTTTTTCCCAAAATCACGTAACCAAAAATTGTATGAATGGCATCAGGTTCAGATATGGTTCCGGTAACATGTCCATTTAATAATAGTTTTGGAAAGACATCTGCCCCAAGTAACAGATCGACAGGACCTGGAGTAAAATATTTGGAATCAGCAAGCTTAAGATCCAAAAGATGAGACCAATTATGAATAGGTAATGTAGAATCAGGAAGGTTATCACATATTTGATTAACGATAATAGCATCTAGATATATTAGGTTCTGGCTGATTAAGGGGTTTGCACGTTACCCCTACACGAGCGGTGTCAAGGGTAGATGTCATCGAGTCTAAACCTCTAATATCTACGGAAAATTCGGTTTGGGCAAGATTTAGACGAGTAGCAGCTCGCTTGGAAATAAACGAACTCATACTTCCTGAATCTAGTAAGCAGCGATATGAGCGGTAAATTCCTCGATTATCAAGAACATCGATAAGGGCGGTAGCTAATAAAATTCGACTTGATTCTATTACTCCTTGAGCGGTAAGAATTTGATTTCCTAAAGTACTAGTACTAGTGAA